TAGAAGAACAAGGAATAAGATCAAAAGCTTGAAGAATGACCGTGGACAATGGATTACAGATCCTGAATCCATCCAGGGTATGGTCAGAGACTTCTTCATCAGCCTGTTCTTGAGAGATACTCAAGAGGAGAGTCTGGATGTGGCTGCTGATTTTCCTGAAACTGATAGGGTGACTCTCAATGGCATTGGTCGGTTGCCCCATCTGTTGGAGATCAAAACCATCGTGAATGGGATGAAAGGCCTTGCAGCTCCTGGAAAAGATGGGTATCATGCTCTCTTTTACCAGAAGTGCTGGGATGTGGTGGGAGAAGATCTCTTCCATTTTGTGTGCTCTTGCTTCATGAACCCTGAAAAGATCAGAAGCATTAATGGCACTCTTCTGTCGCTGATTCCCAAAGTTGAAGCCCCTAGTTCTATGAGCCATTTCCGGCCCATCAGTCTTTGCAACGTCAACTACAAAATCGTGGCCAAGTGTCTTGCTGAAAGGATTAAGCCTCTCATGAACTCACTTATTATGCCTAATCAGTCTAGCTTTGTTCCTCGGAGAAACATCACTGATAATATCATTCTTTTGCAGGAGACAGTCCACTCAATGGCAAGGAAAACTGGAAAGAAAGGCCAGATGCTCCTTAAAATTGACCTAGCCAAAGCCTACGATAGGCTGGACTGGACTTTCCTTAAGGAAACTCTCGAGGCAGTGGGAATCCCTGAAGGTGGAGTCAACATTATCATGGCCTGTGTTACTACCATTCTACCACTGAGCTCCAAGTACTCTGGAATGGTGGGGAGACTGATCCTTTCACACCAAGCAGAGGACTTAGACAGGGATGTCCCCTCTCACCCTACCTCTTTACTTTATGCATTGAACGTTTAGGACATTGCATTAGCAGAGACGTTAGGGATGGTAAATGGAAACCCATTAGACTGTCTAGGAATGGTCCTGACCTGTCTCATTTGTTTTTTGCCGATGATCTTGTTATCTTTGCGGAAGCCAACCTTAAACAGGCTGATATTGTGATGAGATGTTTTGAGAATTTCTGTAAAGCCTCGGGTGAACTCATTAGTAAGGACAAGTCTCGTGCTTTCTTTTCTAAGAATGTTAGAAAACTGGAAAAAGTCTCTATTTGTAATAGACTTGGAATCCAAAGTACTAATGACCTTGGGAAGTATCTTGGTGTCCCAGTTCTGCATGGAAGAGTTAATAGAAACACTTATAAATACATCCTTGAGGCCATTGATAAAAAGCTGAATGCTTGGAAAGCTAGGACCCTCTCCCTTGTTGGAAGGATTACCCTTGCCACTGCTGTGCTTAATGCTCTCCCGGTGTATGCTATGCAAACCTCTGTTCTCCCCATGTCAGTCTGTGATGAGATTGATAAAAAAGTCAGAAGTTTTGTGTGGGTACTAAGGAGGGACAGAAAAAAGTCCACCTTGTTTCTTGGGATAAAATTTGTAAGCCTAAAAAACAAGGGGGGCTTGGCCTTCGATCTGCTAGGTGCATCAATAGGGCCTTTTTGATAAAACTTGCTTGGCAGATGCTCACTAATGAAAAATCCCTGTGGGTGCAGGTGCTCCAAGGAAAATATTTCCACCATAAAGAGGGCAACATCGTCTCCATGAAGAAGAGCTGCCATTCCCCGCTGTGGAAAGGAATCCTGAAAGCTATGCCCCTTATGAAATCAGCAACCTGCTCAAGTATCAGAGATGGGAAGTCTACTGCGTTCTGGACTCATGCCTGGATTGATGTGGGGATTGTTCTTGAAGACTTCCTACTCACTGACATTGATGATGAAGAAAGGGATGAACCTGTGTGCTGTTTTATCACTGACTCTGGAAACTGGAATTGGGACAAACTGAATGGTAAATTACCTAATGAGGTTCTCTCCCTCATTGCAGGTACTGAAACACCGAAGCACGATCTTGGCGAGGATAAGACCATTTGGGGCCTTGAAACTGATGGCAGGTTCAGACTTAAGTCTGCTTACCAATTGGTTGCGGAAGATATGGAGTGCTCCCAAGAAGGCGAAGTGGAAGGGCCCTAATAGAATCAAGCATTTCCTATGGCTTGCCAAGCAGGAAAAGCTCCTGACCAACCATGAAAGAGTTAAAAGGAAGCTAACGAACGATGGAAGATGCCCGAACCCAAACTGCAACGGAGAAGAAGAAACCACAGAGCACATACTGAGAAGATGTAAAAAAACAGAGACTCTCTGGAATCGGCTTCGCCACTCAATCACGACACGGGACCATACGCTGACATTCAATGAATGGATGGGAACCAACATGAGGAATGATGAGAAGGGAATCGACTTTGGGATCATTCTCTGGCATATTTGGAAGCAAAGGAACGAAGAGGCGCTGGATGGAAAGAAATACTGCGAGCAATCCCTCCTCTCAAGAATCCTCTCGTACTTCTGTATTTTGAGGAAAACCAGGATGTTTGACAGCAGGATCTCTACTGAAAACCCTTGTGAGAGGGTGTTGAATCATCTGTCCTGGAGTCCACCTGATGAGGGATGGATGATGATCAATACTGATGGCTCGGTTTGTGCAGGAAACGAGAAGGCTGCTGGTGGTGGACTAATCCGTGACACCCTTGGACGGTGTCAGGAGGCTTTCGCCATCAATATGGGAAATTGCTCAATCACAAGAGCAGAGCTTAAGGCTGCGGAAACGGGGCTTGCTATTGCGTGGAGAAGAGGCTTCAAGAAAGTGGTGCTCTGCCTCGACTCGCTGACAGCGATCAGTATCATTTTGAAGAAGGATGAGGTCGACCATAGATATGGCCTGCTTGCGATGGAAATTAATAGATTGCTCTCAATGAATTGGGAGGTTCAAATCAAACATGTGTATAGGGAGTGCAACTGTGCTGCTGATTTCTTGGCTAACTTGGGTCACTCCCTTCCTTTTGGATCACATCTGATTGATGTGTTCGATCCAGGACTTAGTCACTGGATTTCTTTTGATGTATTGGGTATTACCCAAGAACGTTTAATTAGGAATATCATTTAGACACCATTGGTGTCTGTCTTTTTACCAAAAAAAAAAAAATAGAAAACCCAGCGGAAATCAATAAACCCAGCCACAAAAATTAAACAACCCTTCTCGGGTCGGATACAATACATCTCATTTCATTTTTCTATTTTTTATGCTTATCAAGATTTTTATTTTAAATGATGTGAGAGCATTATTTGAAAGTAATGTTTATGATACTCGTTGGTGGTGATATTACGGGTAATTAGTTTATAGGTATTTTTATTGATTAGTTTGTCCCAATTGGAAGACAATATTGTAGTACGTATCGCTCTCTATTTTCACTACAAAATTTTGTTGACTAAATGATGAGAATTTTCATAAAGCTTATCAAATACACCTTCATCACACCACAAAATTAATAAAGCATACAAAAAAGCTTACAAAGCATACCAGAATCTTACCACACCATAATTCATAAACCACACCACAAATACCATAAAGCATATAATAAAGTATATTAAAACCTCACCACACCACAAAATTCATAAAATCATATCACAAGTTTGTTAAAGACTACCAGAAACTTCATAAAACATATCACAAATTTCTTAAAGCAAATTAGCAATCTCATAAACTTGGACCTGTTTGTACATTTTAAAAGGTTTATGTATCAAAATGTAAGAGAGAGAACTTTTAGGTACTAAAATTTAATTCTCTATCAATACTTTTAGGACTTATATGTAAAAAATTAATTTTAAGTACTAAAATCTATCAATAATTTTAGGACTTATATGCAAAAAATTAATTTTATGTACTAAAATCTATCAATACTTTTAGAACTTATATGCAAAAAAATTATTTTATGTACTAAAGTATAATTTAGCATCAATATTTTTAAGGCTTGTATGCAAGAAATTAGTTTTAGCTACTCAAATGTAATTTTTCATCAAATCGTTGAATTAAGTAACAAATCAATGTGACCAAAGGTAAGATAGCCTAACGGTAAAGCTGCCGCAACAGTGAAGGCTTGGGAGTTGCAGATCCCAGGTTCGAATCCAAGCGAGGCCCGTTGGTGTTCCCGGAGGTACAAGGCTGCTGGGGGCGAAGCCCCGTTGGCGTCAAATTAAATGCAGGTGGCCCCCAGGTTTAGTAGGACCCGCTGTCACAAAGTGGCACGTGGGGCTGAGGTTCCTGGGTATCAAAAAAAAAAAAAAAAAAAAAAGTAACAAATCAATGTGTCCCATTAATACAAGTTGGTGAAAATTTCTGCAGAAAGTTTTCTTTTTTTGGTTGCATGTTTTGTTTATACGTACTTATGCAGTGAATCTGAAATTTCCAACAAAATGGTATAAGATCGTATATTTTGTCTCTTTCAATAATTTGAATTATCACTGATCAAAGTGTTCATAACCATATTTGCATACACACATGGGATGATGGATCAATCATATAACGACCCATTTGATGGTTACATTGCATGTAATATAACAGTATATAAGATCATATTTTCGAACCTCTTTTCAACAACCAACATCAACAGTATCTCGACACTATCTAAATCAATTGTAAATATATAATTATTAAAGTTTTAAAAACACGATTCCAGTTAACATCAAACTCTAATATCATGTGAAGAACCCATCGAACTAATACGACCCAGCCGTTTCCAGCCAATGATCATGTATGCTGCCGTCTAGTGTGAGTGACGCCATAGAAAATTAAGCTTACAGAATCCGGACTTCCACATGGATCTATATAATGACAACATAACTATATATTTTCCATTTGCAGGCTCCAGCAAATCCATATGTACTTGGATTCCGCTTCGATGTATAAGATGAAGAGAAAACGATAAAATCCAAAGCAAAACAATTAATATTAACGTCCATCCTTTTCCCCCCTAAAGCTAGGAGCTGCAGGCGAGATACCATCAAGTAGTTATTTGCTGGGTTTTTGCAGCTTTAGAAATGGTCAAATTTGGATCTCCATATTTCCAGTCCATGGATCCAATCTTTCTTAATTAATTATCTCTTTCTTATATAAATACACTAACCGCTCCATTACCTAATAGTACCATCAACCCTTGTTTTTATTCTTAGAATTCTCCTCTCCTCTCCGAATCCTTTAATTTGCTATTTTTCATTCATTAATTTCATCCCAGAGAAAAAATGCCTGCAGCTGACATCTCATCGTCACCGGCCGGCGGCGGCCATGGCCAGACAGTCTGTGTCACTGGCGCCGGCGGCTTCATCGCCTCCTGGATTGTTAAGCTTCTCCTTGCTAGAGGCTACTCGGTCAGAGGAACCGTCAGGAACCTAGGTTGGTTGTCTTCCATTTGCATGTCCCTTTCTTTCTCTCAATCACTCGTGTTGTTGGGTTGTTGAGAGTGGTCCGATAATAAATTCGGTATCACACACTAACATGCTCATTCAGATTAATACCAACTCATATGGGTTTGAATTTCGCGTAGCTACGAAAATCATGTGTTTAAACACATGGAAGTCATGGAATTAGAACACAAGAACTTTCGGTTCACGTAGGTTCTGATACTATATCAAGAACTCCTTGATTATTCCAATAACTCGAGTTGTTGGAAGATGTTGAATAATGGATAATAACACTTTCTTCACGATAAAACATATATATATATATATATAGTTGAGAATTATCTAGCGGGTCGTTTGGATGCATTATTTTGATTTGGTGGTATTTCGAATCAAATAACTCACAATGAGTTATATTTCAATTGCCTCATGGGCAAAAAATACCACATTCCATTATTATTTTTTCCAAACGAGTTATTTCAGCCGAAATAACTCAATTCTTAGTTATTATTTCAGCTGAAATACCTGCTCGAATTACCTCATCCAAACAACCCTTTAATTAATCAGTTTTCTTGGATTTATGCATAATCTGGATAATACATGTATATAATATTTTTCAGAGGATCCCAAGAACGAGCACCTGAGAGAACTAGAAGGAGCAAAAGAGCGGCTGACCCTATGGGAGGCCGATCTTCTGGATTACAACAGCCTTGGAAGAGCCATAAGTGGCTGCCATGGCGTTTTCCATGCCGCTTGTCCCATCACCGATGATCCCGTAAGTTATTTTTCAGTCCTTATATATATAATTAATGACTAGGCGCTGGACTTTTGCTTACGGAAAGAGGCCGGTTCAGTAGAAATGGATAAAATCTTACATAATTATGCGTGGTCGACAATTTGAAGGAACAAATGTTGAGGCCGGCGGTGGATGGGACCAAGAATGTGATCACGGCGGCATCGGCGGCCAAAGTCCGGCGGGTTGTCTTCACGTCGTCGGTGGGCGCCGTGTATATGGATGCCAACCGGAGCACCGACGTGGTGATGGACGAATCGTATTGGAGTGACCTTGAATATTGCAAGGACACCAAGGTATACATGCATGTATATTATTTTTTAATTAGTTTGCATATATGTAGGTGTAGCTAGCTTATATTTGGCATATATATAATATATAGTCTGCATCCACATCTATTAGATGCATTTTGTTACAGGAAAAGGTTTGGTGGCCACCTAAAGAGTCACATTGCTCGGTCCATTCACTTTTTTTTTTTCATTCACACCATTTTAGTGATTGTTCACGTAATTTATGGTTATTTTTTTTAGTAAGAGTTATGATTATTATCCACGCAATTGAAATTGTAAATCTTTTTCTCTTTTTTTCTCCTAATAATTCGTATTTGCTATATTTTATAGAATAAAATTTGAATTTTTTGATTTTCTGTAAAAATAAGTAGCATTGATAATAATCTACAAAATAACATTCATTTTTATATATTTCGAAATTTAAAAATTAGTTTTACACCGGCATAAATATATAACAATATGCATAACTAAACACAAAGTTGCGTGAATAATCACTAATGTTTACATGAGTAACCACCACTATTACGTGAATAAACACCAATATGACTTGAATAAACACACACCCAAAAATACTGTTGTGGCTCGTCACTAGGGGGTGGCTATACGGTCCGGTCCGATTAAATTGGCCCGAATTGATCCGGTCCTGGTCCGGTCTTTTCTGGAATATAAGGACCAAAGATTGGATTGGATACAGTCCGGTCTTTGATTCGGTCGGGTCTTAATCCGGCCTGGTCCCAATTCGGTTTTGATTCTAGATTGAGTTTGTGGGAATTCGAGTGGCCTGAGTTGGTTAAGTTTTGGGTGTTGAATTCTCTTATCCGGTCGCAAAAGGTTTTTTTTACCTCAAATCTAAACCTGAATATGAGATTGAATTTTTTGTTATCTGGTTTCGATTCCGGTCCCAATCCGAGTTATACGGTCCGATTTCGGATAAAACCAAATAGACCGAACCAAATAGCCAACCCTACTCGTCATCAAACCCTTTTCCTTAATAATTTTGTCTTTGTTTGTTTTCTTTAAGAATTGGTACTGTTACGGCAAGACCGTGGCCGAGCAGACGGCCTGGAAGCTGGCGAAGGAGTTGGCCGTGGATCTGGTGGCGGTCAACCCGGTCGTGGTGTTGGGTCCGCTGCTGCAGTCGAGCGTCAACGCGAGCAGCGTCCACATCCTCAAGTACCTAGCCGGATGGGTCAACACCTACGCCAACGCGGTTCAAGGCTACGTCCACGTCAGAGACGTCGCCCGAGCCCACGTTCTCGTGTTCGAGGCCCAGTCCGCCTCCGGCCGATACCTCTGCGTCGACAGCGTCATCCACCGCGGCGAGGTGGTCGACATCCTCGCCGAGATGTTCCCCGAGTATCCTCTCCCCACCAAGTGAGTACCAATCTCCATTGTTATAAGAATCGGACCGGAGGCACAATAGAACCGCCAAATCAGTTACAATAGCGGTCCGGTTCATTGCTTGTACGGTTACTAATGAATCATATGATTTTCCACGGTTCAACATAAAATTAGATGAACCACCACAATTTAACTAGTACATTGGTTCACTATTTTAACCACATTTTTAAAAAAAATTACTTTAACATAAACTAAGACCATCTAATCATAATTATTAATTTTATATCTGCTTTCTCTTCTTATTTTCCAACCTTGTTGTCGACTTTACGTGGTCCACTACTGACTTGCACCGTAATTTAAAATTTGAATTAAAAAAATATAATTTCTTTTGTGAGACGGATTGAATGATTTATTAGATATTTTGGTGATGATATGAATCTGAAATTGTTTATAGTCAATAATTACTTCATTCTTAGATTAGTGCCATATACAAGTCTCATATGTTATATATCATGAACGGTCCTATCAAAGGTCAATCCACGATTTCGTAACAGTTGACCACCGAAGCCTAAACCACTAACTATTCCGATCCAGCCTCCGGTCCGGTTATGAAACAGAGCCAATCTCCAATTTGCATTGGTAATTCACTTGATCATATGTAAATATACATGAGGTGATGTATATTTGAAACTGATAATACATGCAGGTGCTCGGATGAGAAGAACCCAAGAGCAAAACCACACAAGTTCAACTGCCAGAAGCTGAAGGAGCTAGGGTTGGAGTTCACACCAGTGAAGCAATGCTTGTATGAAACTGTCAAATCCCTCCAGGAAAAGGGCCACCTTGTTACCCTCCCTAATAAACAGCATTAGGAAATCATCTGCTCTTCACACATACATGAACCAACTTAAATGTTGCACTGTCATTATTATATTATGCCCTAGCTAGATCCCATCTTGCAAGTGGCTTAATATATTTCCTTGCACTGAAGGGGAAAACGTCTTAAAGATGGCGAATTTGAGAATTAGGGTTAATTTTTCCATGAAAGGGCTTGAAATGGATAATGACAGAGTACAAGGACTTATTTTTTCAGATGATGGTAGTACAAAGAACTTGCTACAAATGCCACCAACCGTTCTAGTTCATGGGACATCACAAACATGGATTTCCCCCCTACAAAACACACACCAGACAGCAAAAGATGGCTTCTCACTATACAAATCTCCCGACCAACGGTTCAAAAATTAATAAAACTACATCCTCTGGGAACTTCAAACATTCTCAACTCACTATTTTTTTGGTGTCTTTATACTTGGCTTCCCACCACATACCAAATGGCAGCAAGCAGGACTTTTTCCTATGGTTTCCAGATGTGTTTTGAAATGCATTTCATATCAAAGGATTCGGTCTTGAAGATCTGTCATCAATGACGATGCTAAGGAGCTGAGCTTCTTCGTCGTCTCTCCAGCGATGTTCTTCAACGAGGCAATATCTTGTTGTGTCTGAAAAATGTGATAAGAAACAGAGAACTCAGGCAAAAAAAAAAAAAAAAACATTTCCAACCAAATCAACTTTTCTTATGTTTAAGCAGTTTTTAAGAACCATATACCTGGAAAGATAGCCGGTTGATCATGTCACTTGCAGTAAGATCGATGGTTGCATTGTCGTTGCTGCGACCAAAAAGATCCGCACTTGAGATGGATGAAGAACCCTGGAAGGTCACATTGATTGGATTTGTTTATTACTTGTGGGGAACTTAAACGTAGAATCGCAACTATCCATTTGAGGGGGAAAAAAAAAAAACTTGTTAAGGTAAGAGTTAGTTATTCATGATAGACTTAGCAACCACAGAATCAGGCATACCGAGTATTTCTCCAAAGAAGCTTGAGCATCAAGATCAGCTGATTTATTCTTATCGCCAAAAAATTGAGCTGATGAAATCGACTTGGCATTTGAGAACTTTTTCCTAGCTTCATCCGTCTCCTCAATCTGAAAAGAGGACTTGATTATAAGCAGAAAAAGAGACAGCACATGGCACTATGGCAGTCCACAAAATCATGTACAAGTGACACACATAAGATGAGATTAAGTGAAAGACTACTTGTACAGGACATGAAAGTTTTTCACCATCACCCACAGGATTGTGAAAATGATCACATGGGAAAAATCAGGGTCCCTGCTCTGCCATTGTTACTGGCAAACGATAAAGAAGGGACGGGAGGATGCTGCCTAGCATGCCATGAACAACATGTTGCACGTACTTGATACTGTTCTAGATAGCAAACTCAGCATGGTAGATGTTGCTAGAAGATCGGAAAATTTAAGGAAAATATCACTAGCAGATTCAATGAGCATGCTCAAAGACTATGACTCCTGTAATGCATGGGTTCAATTCGAGGTCAGTAACCAGCTTTTCCGAAATTCACCCAGATTCCATTCACAACAAAATAAGAAACAGTTTCCATTAAGGGCTCTAACTTTAGAAGGGAGAGTTGTATTGAACAGTAGGCAATTTAAGTTAAGAATGAGACATCAGCCAACTTTCAGAATATCAGCCATAATATAATTGAAAACTTCACCAATACTTACTTGCACTCTAGAGGAACTTGAGTTCCCTATTTTCTGGAAACCACTATCCATTCCAAGATCTGCAAAGAAGTTTGATGACTTTGGTGCAGAAACATGGCTAATCACTCGTTGTCCACCAGGAACCATATCCGAGGGCTGGATATTGTCTACATACTCGAAACGAGATGTAAGAGATGCCCCAGTTTTTGGGTTGCCAGTCGAAGACAATGGAACAGGAAGAGGTAACTCTTCAGGCTTCTGATCATAGAGACTTTCATTTGGCTGCACATCAAAATGTTTGACAATTCTATTTTAAAGCATGTTGCCAAGTGAATAAAATGGAATAGTTTCAACTTTCAAATTCATTCTGGTCCTGAGATTTGAGAAAATATAGTAAGTACAAAAGAACGAGAAAAATATCTATCTACCTTTGTAGTGAGCTTTTTGGCACCAAGACCCCCAGTCTTCCCAGTTTTCCTTGCTGCAAGAGGCTTCTTGACTGTAGAAGTGGTAACTACTGGATGGACTTTTAAAGGGGGTGCTGACAAAGTAGCTACCACAGGTGTTTCCTGCTTTTCTAATGATGGTTCTTTAGAAGAGTCGGTTATAGTCACATCAAGCAATCCATTTGTGCCTTCAGCAGACTGACAAGAAACTGGCGACGATGGCAGGGCCACATCTTCGGCCACGCTTTTTGCAACCTCCTTTGAGAGAATTTGCCTATACAAATCTGCAGCTCTAGATGTATATTTTCCCTCAATTTTACCCCCATCGGTCCAGCCATGCTGCTTAAAGAACACATTTGCACGGTTATTTCCACCAAAAGTCATCATCTTTAACTGCTCTGGCGTCCATGAGTCTAAAGTCGTGGACCTGCCAAACAAAATAAATGGGGTTATAAATCAGCTTATGTGAATCTAAAAATGAAAAACTACAATTCAAGACCATACAGACTTGATGACAACACAAAGAGAGAATTGTGGAGATAGGCAAGAAAGCGAACTGCCCAAAAATGGCCCCAGATTTCATACTCATATTCTTATAACAAGCATTCAGCCTCGAGTATAAGGTACTCAGATGAAACCTTGTGGAGCTTTCAAGCCAAACCAAAATACCCCCCCCCCCCCCCCCCCCCCAACAAACACCAACTACTTCCCCAATATAAAATACTGAATAGCCAATCCTTAAATGAAATAACCATAAAACAAAGCAAAATGGGAGGGCAGTGACCCGTCTGATTACCTTACAAAAGTCAGATGCACACCAAGGCTACGATGAATAGCAGAACAATCGATGCAGAGGAAGACCCCATAGGTTACAGAAGCCCACGTAGGATTCTTTGCATTACAATCAAAACACATCTGTAGAAAAGGTAATTGACTTTACTTCCAAAATCCAGATGGGAAGACAACCCAACATAACTGAAACCAAAGCCACAGCCCATAAGGAAGAAATCGTAATTATCAGCACAAGCAAAACATACTTTGTTCTCAGATTTTCCTCTGAGTTTCCTAAACACTGCGTCTTTGTCAGTAAAATTGTCGATAGATGCCATGATTGCTTGCTGCTTTCACCAAACAAGACAAGAGATTGTGATTAGAATTTAGAAAGAAGAAAAGTTTGGGAATACAAAAGATGTAAGTGGAGTAATCTTGCTTTCCCACACCTCAGATATGTACAATACTAGACATTCTTAGTTCGAACATTTCAGTAGTCGTGAGATGTGCTTTGTCATATTGCATTTTGGAAGTGATAAGATTTGATAATTCCCCACTAACAAAGGGTTCGAACTAAAACGGAGGAAGAGTTCAGCTCATATCACAGCCAATGACGAATGAACACTTCAAAGGGGATTCATCTACCTCCTGATTCCACCCTTACCATCAAACTAGAACAAGACTCTGCAGAAACAATGCCTTCATGCAAATCGATTCCAGTACACTGAATACCTCCACACCAATTCCACAACCCCTACCGACTCTAGTCCCTCCATGCAGATCAAAGATCGAGAACAGAACAAAATACCTAGGGTTTTCACCGACGTCCTCACAAATGCGGAGAATGAACAGCAACGGATCGACAGAGACGGAAACAGATCAGGCGGAGAGGTGGTGATGGTCGGAAAAAGAGACGAGCCCTCCTCCGATCTACCGGCGTTCGCGTTTCCCTCTCCCGCACGATTTCAGCGATACCGCGCACGATCTGGCCTGAGGCGACAGAGATTCTAAGAAGAAGTAGTAGTCGACTAGTTGACCAACAACTACGGCGCCGCCCGCGAGAGGAGCGGAGGAAAGTGCGAAGGAAGACGGCGGCGGAGAGGATCAGCCGGCGCGTTTTGAGCCCGCGATTTCTGAGCTTCGCCTGAAAATCTTCCCCGACGTGGAGCTATTTTCTTTTCTTTTCCACTTGTTGGTTGGGATGATTTGTTATTTATTTGATTATTTCCATTTATTCCGAAGATCAAAATGGTCGGTGAGAAAGGGACAGAAGGGGAATTAAGAGACCGAAACGGCACTCTCTTGGCCTTCCTGCCAGGATAAAAACGCCTATTTTGGTTTTACATCCATCAACAATCTTTTTCTGTCAATCACGTATTCACATTCATGGAACATTTATGTTATAGTCTTCATCCAATATCTCTGTTACAAAAAACCTTCTTTCACTGTGATAAAAGTGGGTAAGAAATTGGATAGTAGTGACATAAGTTTTAGATTGTTTTTTTATACTTGAATATCGTTGTCACTGTAAAAAAAAAAACATCGATCAAACTAGTTGTCTTCATTTACACACTATATTAATCATGCAGGTTCTTATACCGATTGAGATTCATATGTGGTATTTGATTGTGCACACTATGTTTAACAAGTTGATGATCATGATGACCGAGATTGCTGAACAAACGGTGCCTAGATTGAGAGAGAGAGGTTGGTTGGTAGGTGGGTGGAATTAATGAAAGAGTTTTTTGGGGCTGGCTTTTTCGTAAAAAATCCCGCCAAAACACCCAAAAAATGGCCTAAACCCCACCCATCTCTCACTCCTCGGCCCCACCACTACCTTCAGCTCGACTTCCCTACAGCTCAAGAACGGCTCGTCCCCTTCCTCGAGCCCGTGTCCCATCCGCTCAATATCCTACCCTCTCTTGTGGACTTATCCTAAAGAGATGAACTAGGGTGTCATGCGAATAGTTTTATGAGTTCTTCTATCACAATTACCATTTGCAGTTGTCTACCCAATCATGTATCTATAGTAGAGTGTATAGAATCACATTAGACAACATTTCCAATCATCTCATATGAACACATAAATAAAGTAATAAACCATAAGCAATAATGATAATCAAAGCGAGATAGACCAAACATCAGTCAATATATGTCATATACAAGCATCAGGAATAGTCTATGGCTCTCTAGAATGGGACCGGATACTATGACAACACTCCATGTGTTGTTACAGTGACAACAGCACTATCAGCCAATAGGAAAATAGGATTTTGTTGACTTTTTAATTATATAAGTTGACTCAGTTTATCCCGTGTAAAAATCAAACAAGGGCAACTTTGTCATTTAGAAAATTGAAATCTCGACAAAACAATTTGTTTCTCTATCAGGCTATCCCCCATCTCTCCGATCCCTCCCATACCAGCGATTCTTCCTCCTCATCGGCGTCGGCCGTCAAACTCCTCCACCATCTATCACCGCTTCTCTCTCCCACATGTCTCAGCCGGCAGCCGCCACACTCAGATCATATCCTCGACGGGCCTTTCTCCCCCATTGACAACCATCTCATCAATTGTGACTCCGCCTGGGACCTTCGTAGGTTCGTCTCTAATTTTCGTTCCAATCTCGGCACCTCGATGCTCCGTTCCGTTATCACGACGACGGCGTTGAACGGATTCCCCCATTCCAGCTCGTTCGGAATCTATCAATGGAGACCAAAAATTACATAATACACCTCCATTTTGACCTTTCTTGTCCTGCACAAACCGCCACGCCTCCCGCCATCCGGCCGCATCTGCTTTAGTTGCCGCCCTCCGTCTCACAATCGATTGCATCCTTCGACCGTGTCCATCGCTTCTCCGCCGTCTCTCTGTATCCAAGCAGTCGATTATTTTTGCATGAGTTGGGAGTTGGGAATGGGAGAAGTTGGAGAAGAATGGGAAGACCGAAGATGGAACGGAACATAATCAAAGGGAAAGGAGATGGAAACTTTTGTGGCAATCATAAGTTAATTAATTTGGGATGGAAATTTTGATAATTAATCTCGACTATTAATTGTTTATTTTGGCATCTTTATGCATTTGTAGAGAATTATTCATTTTGGTAGTTTGGGTCTAATTCTCATAATTCTCATAAAGAATACTACAAACACCATAAAGAAATTCAAGTCAAAATTAATACAAACCATACCAGAAACACAAAAAAACATCCAAAAATCTTGTAAAGCATACTAGAAACACTTGAAAAGCAAACCACTAATCTGGTAAAGCAGACCATAAATCTCCTAAAACACACCAAAGACCTCATAAAGCATAGCAGAAACACAAAAAAGCATACCACAAATGTCAATGGTCACCGGCTTTGTGGTCTGCATTATGAGATTCATGGTTTGGCTTCTCGTGATTTTTGTATGCCTTTTTTGATCTACTTTATCGTGTTTATGGTTTGCATTAAGAAGTTTTTGGTGTGCTTTTCGAAAATTATGTGGTTTGGTTTGTACTTTGTGGGGTTTATGGTATGTTTTAATATATTAGTGGTATACATTAAGAGGTTTCTCGTTTACTTTTTGTGGTTTGATTTACCGTGTTTATGGTTTACATTAGGAGGTTTCTGGTGTGCTTTTGAAATATTTGTAGTATGCTTTGTGAGAATTCTGGTACGATTTAGGGGACTTGTGATATGCATTGGGAGATTTCTGGTATGCTTTTTGTGGGTTGCTTTACCTTGTTTGTGGTTTGCATTAGGAGGTTTCTGGTGTGCTTATGAAAATTTTGTGGTTTACTTTGTGGGATTTCTAGTATGCTTCATGGGATTTGTGTTCTACATTAAGAGTTTTTTTGTGCTCTAAAAATATTTTAGTATGATTTTGTGGTGTTTATTGTTCGCTTTAAGAGAGTTATGGTTTCAATTAAGAGATTTTTTGTATGCTTTATAAATAGTGTGGTCTGTTTTATGGTGTTTCTTATATGCTTAGCAAGATTTATAGTTTGCTTTCTCTAATTTCTGGATTGTTTTAAGATATTTGTAGTATGCTTTATAGTATTTCCAGTCTATTGTGCTGATCTCTTGTTTGTGGCACAATCTGCTCGCATTAGTAGTATTCAATTAGTAGTAAACGCATTCCACCTTTAACAACAATCATGAATGATAAACATTCATTTCATATATCACTAATCAAAGCCATCAGTTCACAATTTATCAATAAAAGGGCTAAATAGGATACAGACGAAACAAGTAGTGCTTGTAAAGCTAATTGCATGGGAAGTTCTTTGAACTTCACTTCCCGGTACTTGTAAATTGCCTTTGTTTTGCCACAGGGGAGAATAACTAGGTCTCGGGTGGCTGCAATAAACCTGGAAAAGATTCAAAGAATTGAAACAAGTTTTGATTTGTGATCAAAGAGACATCACATATAATATGCACAGACTCCACTAAATGAAAGGACAGATGGATATCTAACCTTCACTATCACATTTAGGAAAATTGCACCCTGAAGATTTCCAGCTTGGACTGCATTAATACCAACAACACACAACATGATGATGATGATGATGATGATGATACAAGAGCCAAACGCCAAATTCCTCTTGACAAAATTCGCTAGCATGATCATCATCAATTCCGGCGCACATAAGCACCATCAACATCATCAAATCCATGACTTCTCACATTCTTGTTCTTGCTGCAAAACCAACAGTCAAATCAACATCAACACCGGTGATCGCATTGTTGTTCCCACCATCCCCATCCTGGACGGAAGTTGAACATAATCTCACATCAATCGGACTGAAGCTGCCAACTTCGGAGCATTTTGATGGAGATCAGGGAATAATTATAGATTTGATGAGAAGGAAAGCCAAAAGTGGGGCAAACGTGGCGACCTATTGATGACGCCATGTTGTCAAATTGAATCTCCTTTCCCAGCATCTTCGTGAAGCCTTTGAAGATCCTCTATTTCAACTATGGCGCCCGATCCTCCCTGTCCTCGTAGAACACCAACTTGATTTTCTCCACCGCGTCGCTTTCCATTCTGTCGTAACTGCTCCTATTCCCACCGGCGTCGCTCTCGATCTCGATCCCGACCTTCGATGATCCTCTATTTCCTTCTCTGCCGCCACTGCTACAGTAGGCAATTAGGAACAACGCGATTACAAGGGATCTAACACCGATCCCGACAATTATCAGAGCCATCCCGACGATGCTCAATGCCAGGATATGAGCTCCGATAGCCAACGTCCTCTCGATTTATCGTCGGCGACACAAAAGCTAGGGAGAATGAGAAACCAGATCTGGCAAGCAGAGCGTGCAAGCAAGAATATGGGAAAGATATTTTAATTTTGTTAGTTTTTTTGTTGTTTTACGTTTTTACCCTTAATGAAAACTGATGTTACAATAACAACACATGAGGTGTTGTTATAGTATCCGCTCCCCTCTAGAATCTATAGGGTTCACAAACCTACACAGCAAAAGGTTATAATCACTTCCCTTCAGCCCTTAAGCTCCCGCCTCATCTCCTGGATCCCTCCTCCTGTTGGCTATATGAAGATCAACTTTGATGTTGCGGTTCATGCTTCCGGTTGCTCGTCTGGACTAGTGGTTCGTGCAACAGACGGGCATGTGGCGTTGGCAGTAGGGTTCCAGCAACCAAGCATTGTTGACCCCTACCTCGCAGAACTTCTTGTAGCTCGAGACGCTATCTCCCTCTTGGTCTCCAAGTCCCTTCCTTGTGTCATCATCGAAGGTGATTCAGAAGTGGTGATTCGCCAGCTTCGCCAGGGCATTTCTTCAGATTCCCTCGGAGGTCCGGTGCTTCGTGATTGCTTCCAGCTCCTGTCTTCAGTTTCTGTTTCATTAGAGTTTAGGGCAGTTCCTAGAACTGCTAATGGGGCTGCCCATGGAGTGGCGCATAAAGCGCTGTTACTTTCTCCTCTTGAGATCGGTTCCTTTGACTTTGTAGGGTGGCTTCACTGATGTATTGGTTTGGGAGGGTTTTGGGGTAGATTGTATAGTTTTTTCTCTCTTGACATTTCTTGGGGGAAAAAAGAAGGTTATAGTCACTTATATTGGAAGAAAAACACATATACATTGAATGAGGATAAGAAAAATCTAACATATGGAAAATTCAAACTTTCTCTACTTCGATTTTCGAGGCGCCAAAAATTCCGGCATTTTCTTCATTTGCGATTTCTGGATGAATTTCCAAGATCTGGAGCTGCTATGAAGGCAGAGCGAACCCCCTGTAAAATTGTGTATGATTTTGAGTTCAACAATATCTGTGTATAGGCTTGGAAAATAGGTTTTCTTGCGGATTTCTAAGGATGAATTGTCCTCTGGAACCTACTGCCATCACACAATATTCTAGACTTCAAAAACTGACTCCAATATTTTACCCAGGCAATGAAAAATATCCTGCTCTTCTGGCAGTTCTCCTCCGTGACAAAGTCGTAATCATAAACAACATACCGGCACTCGTCAGCAGGGATGCTAGCATCAAAATCCTCACAGCTTTGACTTGGATCACCAAGCTTCTCCACCATGACTTCCTTTTGCTTCTCCTCGATCTTGAAAATTATGGAGCGATTAGCGATAGGTCCTTTTTGCCTGCAGCTCCAAGAATTTCAATTTGCAGTCGTCATGGACTGCCATACCGGATGCCGCATTTGCCTAACAAATAGCATTGCATTACAGTCTCTGATTAACACCAAGTCAAAGTTCACTAAGCCGGTTTCCCTTCAACATTGAATCACAAGTCAAAGCCGCTATTTTCAGCGCAAGTTTATAGGGGTCATCGATCAGATTCATTAATTAATTGCCAAATCCAATCCCAAGAGGAAAATAATCCCTAAATTGATAACACGATAACTACAATACCGCTGCCACCCACCCCTCAGAGAATCTGAAGCTCGATCATGACGAAATGAAGAGCAATTGAGACACTAACCAAGTAAAACCTATCAGGAGACTGCAACACAAACAATCGTCATCGACCAAGGTCGATCCATAGCAGATGCAGAACACTAGTACAACTACCTAAATTACACACTAAAAATGAGCATCTGATCCACTTAGCAAACACAGCAGCAAATCGTCACGTCTGAAAAGGAGAAATATAGCCAACATCTAAATTCAATTCAAGATTCAGCACAACTTCCTAACATATACGCCAAACTTTGACGACGGGGGAAGAACAAATCAGATCTCAACAGTCAACGCAATGGATAAGATAAGCTAACGGGAGAAACAACAGACATCGGCAGAAATGACGAATTCCGAGCAAAATTCAAGTTCGGGACGGCCAGATCGCAACAAGTATTCGCTAACGGAAGCACTCCATCACAGAGACCTCATCATCCAGCACACATCGAAGATGCATAATAATGGAAACCCTAGGATAGCAAAGCTGAAATCGTGGAAGAAATAAGAACATGAAGATGGGGAAAAAAACAACTCACCATTTCGCTGGATTCTTCACGGAGAGGAAAGGTGAAACCAGAGATATAGGAATATGAGAGTATATAGAGCAGAAGCGAAGAAGATCGTCTCCGCCCGATGGAAAAGGGATGTGCAGCGGAGAGGTGAATGGAGAGCGGGATCGCCTTTAATTAGGTGGTTCTGATTCGCGGGAAATGATACAGTGGGTGTTGTTGTATGTTTGCTTATCGTGTGTTAACATTTACAGTAATTTTTTGGCCTAATACCAGAAAAGGCATATAGTTTAGACTTTCTGTCATATGTACCCCTTATGTTTATCCCGCGTTAATTATATCACAACAATTGTCTTTATGTCAAGAATGTCATCATAGTTTCGTTGACTATTAGACTTAACGGTCAACATAATGACGGTCAACATTCTGTTGACTTAATGTCACGTGTCTGCTATGTCATCGACACATCAAAAAATAATATTTTAAAATTTTGTTGACTTAGTGTCACGTGTCTGCTATGGAATCAATCTTCTTCTCCTTGCTTGCACCTTCTTCTTGCTTCTTGGGTGGATTGGATTTTCAATTAAGCTCTCCCAAGGTGTTTCCCTATCTGAAAACAACCCAAAATCCTAACTTTGTCACTCTAGGGTGGCTCTCCTTTTGAAAAGTGCAACAAGAAGGGTATTTATAGAAAGCAGACGGCGGTCAAGGCCTCTAGGGCGTGATGATATGGTTACGACCGTGACCTGGCCATGACCAGATGGAACGTCTCCGTATCGCCCAAAATGACGCATTTTGGCACCATCTTTAAGCTCTGAGATCGCGGTCGTGATCTTTGTGTCCCGGGCGCAATTTTTTTTCGCGGTCAAAATGCACCATATCCGCGATTTAATTGGGGAAACTTTCTGCCTTCTTCTTGGTTGCCTGTTGAAGTTCACGGCTACTGTTCACGACTGCGATCTTCAGGCTGCGAACATGGTCATGGCCTGGTGGTCACAACCGTGACGTGCGGCCGTGACTAGTGTCTTTTCTCCCATTCTTGCTCCTATGTTTTCCAATCATGCTCGAATGAACCCCGATCGATTCCCGATCAATCCCGAATGCATATAAGGCTCGGAATTTCATATAAAAAAAACACTTGGGAAAGCATAAAATACGACAAATTGGGGTCGGTTCGCCTATGAAAACCTTCATATCATGAATACCTTTGCCAAAATGCATGTTTTGCAAATATGAACGAATATGAGCATAAATAACTTGATATGTGGCCTAGACACAGCGATTTGACATGCAACTGTCTTAAGAATAAGGTCTAAATAACGTCTATTTTAGGTATTATCAACTGTCACCAACGTGACAGTGGTAGCCGTAGAAGTGTATTTTGTCTTGATTTTTCTTTGAAAAAATTTGAATTCCAATTTTAAAGGAAAGTGATATTGGCCATTTAATTGGAAAGAAAAGAATTATACACGGTAACTTACCAGGTTGGTTACTGACTAATCCGTTCGCGCAAAAAACCATATGCGTTGTCGTTGGTCCTCATCAATTGAGGAACACTTAGGGTGTTCAAATGATTACCATGTTAACATAAAACCAAACAAACCTTTTTTTTTTTTTTTGAGGAACTAAACAAACCTAAATTGTATTAACCATCGAATAGAATATCATAACAAAACTGTCCAAACTACTACAACAACCAAATTAACCAATATAACATCACATTATCATTAAGTGAGAAATTTTTTAGGTTAATGCATCCATTCACAATTTATATGATGAATAAAACATAACGATCAACACATAGTTATAGTTGAACCTTAACATAAATACATGCAACCAATATAATTATCTTACAGTTAATAGAAGTATTCACCTAACAAAAATATATGTCAATAGTATGAGGTTAATGAATTATTGTGTTTTTGTGAATTGAATTAGTCTCTTAGCAATTATCATAGGTTGAAAATGGCATTCCTTTCAAGTTTTCATCTAATATAATGTATGAGTTTTATCAAAATTAGGCATTCATATATCATGGTCTACTCTCTACAAATACAAATATACAGTATAGAAACAATATTGAGCTTTATTTCTTATGAGCGTAAAATAAATGAATGTTTGGCTTTTGAGTGGTTATGCAAAGTTTTAAGTATGCGTGTATAATGTATATTAGATATATGGATAATTACTTAACTAGTTAATTTGGTTTGATTGGTTAAGAGTGTCCTAATCCAAACCAAACAAGCTAAAAAGTTTAACCAAACCAAATTATCCAAATACTACCGGTTAAAACGGTTTTAGAAAAGGTCCAGATTTTGCCTAGATGCTCGGTGTGTTGGAAGACCTCTGAAACGATGGAGCATCTCTTTTTGGATTGCCCAATCGCTGGAACACTATATATTTGCTCGGGTCTGGAGCATTTGTGGTAAGGGTTGTCGCGGCAGACCTTCCCTCTGTTTCTCAAAAAATGCTTGCTTCGGATGACCCAGCCGGCTTAAATTATGGTCATGGTTGCGGTCTTATAGCGTAATTGGAAATATAGAAATTGGGTTGTCTTTGTCTCTTTGAGGGAAAACAATTTTCGATTACCCATCTGATGTGCCAATAACATCAGCAACTACATGAATGGGTCTACCTGCCGGACGATAGGTTGGACCTAAATCAGCTTCCTTTGCAACATATTTGGATGCGGGAGGATCATACTTTGTTATTTGTATGTGAGATGGTGCAGTATGTGCTGACTCACATTCAACGGGAGGATTGATCCTAAAGGATGAAGAAGGCTCTGTTGTCTTAGCCAGAGGGTTGCGTTTTTTTAGAATATGGATGATCCCCTGCTAGTTGAGACTATTGTCCTTCGTGAAACTATTCAATGGTGTCGAGACTTTGGACTTGCTCAAGTTCGATTTGAAGGGAATGCTAAGGTGCCCATGGACAATATTAAAGCCAAGGATGTGCGAGATAGCCATGTCGAGGCCATTATTGAGGAAATTCTGCATATGTTGACACTTCATAGTGGTTTTCATGTTCGATTTGTAAGTCATATTAACAATAGAGTAACCCACCCTGTGGCTCTGAAAGCCCTTTATTTGCATCCAACCTCGTGTCGAATCTTTGATTTTTGTTCCTAGGTTCGTTTCCGGGTATAATCTCTAATCCCTCTATCAATCAATATGATTATCTTTTGTTAAAAACCTGGTTACCATGGTAACCACTCCATTTGAACACCCCTGAACAATACCAATCCCAAAGGGACTCAAAATCAATACATAATAAAGAAATAAAATGCGTGAGACCTGGGCAACCAGGTCAAGAGAGCATGAGAGAGCACAAGATTCATGTAGAGAACCTTAACATTTCACGATAAGCATATCTTTTAGCAATAGCAGACTAGCAGTACATATCAAGAACAAACATGATAACTGCAGGCTATGAGGAACCCTCTTAGCAACCCTAAGTAGAATGAGAATTGTCGTGCACTTCTCCACCTTCAACCCAACTCAAGGCCCTACCTAAACCCGCTCCTCCACAAACAAACAGTTGCAGATTAGCTTGTAGACATACAGCTACATGAAGCGCACTCAGACACAAAATGGTTCTATGGAACACACAATAACAAAATGTACCCCAAAGCCACGTATTCATGGTTCAAATGAAGAAAAAATAAAGACTTCAGAACAGCAGATCAAACTCTGAAAACCAGTCCATTCATCACCAAACTATAAACATGACAAACCCAGTAAATGCAAATCCTGAAAGGCCACAAGCCACATTGTCCGATGGCCCCTCATATGTCTGTCCCCATTCAATTGGCACGACTCTTGAACACATCAAGACCCATCTCTGTAGGATCAGTCGCTTGCAACTCCACCTGAATTCCATCGAGCTCTCTCTTGAACCTGTCTTTTGAGCTAGCGTAAATCATCTTGCTTCTCACCCTTGCTGTGTCAGGAGACCTTGAAGGGCACCACCACAACATACGTGTAATCAGCGCATGATAAACTAAAAATTTGACCGGATAAAGGACACATGCGGGAATGTGTGAACTTAAGAAGAAGACAGACTCCAATATTTTACCAGGCAATGAAAAATATCCTGCTCTTCTGGCAGTTCTCCTCCGTGACAAAGTCGTAATCATAAACAGCATAGCGGCACTCATCAGCAGGGATGCTAGCAGCAAAATCCTCATAGCTTTGACTTGGATCACCAAGCTTCTCCACAATGACTTCCTTTTGCTTCTCCTCGATCTTGAAAATTATGGAGCGAAAGGTCCTTTTGGCCTTCAGCTCCAAGAATTTCAGCTTGCAGTCGTCGTGGACTGCCATCCCGGATGCTGCATTTGCCTAAAAAGTAACATGAACAGAGTCCTCAATAGTCAATACCATGTCAAACTGTAGTTTCACTGTGAGCTGTGATGCAGAATCGCACTTCACATTCAAGGAAAGTTACTTTTGGAGCTACTAATCAGATTCATTCAAGAATTAACAAACCCAATCCCAAGAGGAAAACAAATCCAAGATAGAAAATCCCTAAAATGAAAATACAAAAGATCTCATAGTTCCCCTTGGAATCTCAAACTCGGATCATGACAAAATGAAGAAGAATTGGGACACTACCAAGTAAACCCATCGAAAAACTGTAATACAAGCAAATCAATCAAAGAAGATCTCAAGCGCTGGCCATGGAATAGTTGCAGAACCATGGAGATACATCATCATCGATCCAGCTCCCTCACAGTTCACAGATACAGAACACTAGTACCTATATTACATACAAATGATCATTTGGTCCCTCATAGCTAACGCAGCAGCAGATAGTTACATTCGAAAGAAGGAATATAGCTAAAATCCAAGCTCAATTTAAGATTCAGCACAAATTCGTAACATCTAGGCCAACAACGGGAGAAGAGCAAATCAATGAATCTCATAGTTGCCCTCAAATCTCAAACTTGGATCATGACTAATTGAAACACTACCAAGTAAACCCATAAAAAAGCTGCAATACAAGCAAATCAATGAACGAGGAGCTGCCATGGAGTAATTGCAGAAATAAAGCCAAACATCACCATCGATCCACCTCGACAACAGATACAGAACACAAAACAAACCGCCTAAATTGCACACAAATGAACACTTGACCCTCTTAGCTAAACACGAGCAATCGTCAAAATCGAAAGAAGGAATACAGCTAAAATCCGAGCTCGATTAAAAATT